CCCCAAAACCCCAAAACCCCAAAACCCCTCGTACAAATTCCAGTTTGATCTTAAATATAATTTATTAGACTTGTACAGAAATGAATGGTCACAAGATGGGAGGAAGAGGTAATGGAAGGGAGAAAAAGTGGGAGAGGAGGGGTGTAGGAAGGAAGGGGATTAAGGAGAGAGATGGGAGTGGTGTTTTGTGCTAACTTTTTGGATTTTAGATGCAAATTTTAAGGATTTTAACAGTTTTGCACCGTTTACAGATGAGGTGGTAAAAGAAGAGGGTCAAATAGCTCTGTCTAAATTAGAATCAAAGAAAAACTGTATTCTAAATGGTAGCAAGGAGGAAAATAGTTTTTGAGCCTCGCTGAGAAAGAAAATATCTTTTAAGCAAGGAGGGATGAAAGGATCTTTCTTCAACCTCATCGCCTGCACTTTAGGGATAGGCACCACAGTAATGCCTTATTTAGCCCTGACTAATGGGATCATTTTATCTTCCCTATTTACTATTTGTGGGGCATATCTTTGTTACTTCTGTGGAATGCTACTGGTAAGCTGAGCAGAGAAAACAGGAATGGACAAATATGAAGAATTTACCTCTATTTTATTTGGAAGAAATATTTCTTTACTAGTTGGATGGTTTAATACATTAACTCTTCTTGGATATGTTACTTCATCCATTGTTTTTCTGAAGAGTTTGATACCGCATGTAGTAGATGAATTCATTGGATTGGAACAACTCCCAGAGATTATGAATCAGGAGACTTATAAAGGACAGATATTTTGGGCAGCATTGTATACTGTTATGATGCTTTTGCCATTGTCATTACCAAGAAAAATCGGAGTGCTTAGATTCAATGCAATGTTCGGAGCAATTTGTACATTTTATTTAATTATTTGTATTACTTTGATGCTTTTTGATGCTGAACTTGTTCCAAACATTGGAGAAGCTTTTAACAATAATATTGTTTATGTAAAATTTACTTTTGAAGGAATCGCTGATGGTATTCCTTTTGCTGTATTTGCATTTATGTATCAGCAGAATGTGCCTATTATTTACAGAGAGCTCAACCAAAAATCTTATAGAAAAATGAGCATTGTTATGATCTCAGGAACCACTTTTGCTACCTTTTTGTATATCGTGGTGTCAATTTGTGGGTATCTTGAGATCGTTGGGGATCAGGCAAAAATTGAGGCTTTAAGAGCAAATAAATAGCATACTTGAAGTTCCTTTTGATAAGCCTTCATTTAAAGTAGCTAAGATCGCTTTAATGCTGACCGTAGCTTGTGGTACACCTCTTTGTGTCTTACCTGCTAAAGATGCATTTGAAGAGATTTATGTTCCTGGTAGAAAGCTAAGCTTTAAGCAGAATATTTTCACAACTTTGGTAATGTTACTTGGCTGCTTTCTTTGAGCTGTTCTAATACCAAATATTGGTGATGCAATAACTATATTCGGATGTACTTTGAATCCCTTGATGGGTTTTATCCTTCCTGCAGTTTTCTATCTCAAGATAGTCGAAGATGAGAAGAAATGAATGAGAATAAGTTGCTATGCTATCATCATCTTCATTACTTGCTTGTGATGTTGGATTTTCTATAAATTTTGAGATAGTAAGTTGCAATAAAATATTTCTTGAATTCTTAGATTAAAAATTTATTTATTTAAATTACCAATTTCAGTGAGGAAAATCAAAGGAAAGTTTATTGATAAGATAATTACATTCATTAGCTTTATAATTTTCACCGCACAAATACTCTATCCCCTTTATAAAACTTCCCATTTTCCCTAAAATCCCAACCAAAAACCTCAGATTTTAAAAAATAATCCCTCTAAAGTGCAACATTATTTCAACTATAGTCAAACTTATTCCTAACACACCCTCTAACCCTCAAAACCCCCATATCTACGCTCACCCAATCCCTTCCAATTCCCCCTACTCCAAGTCCCTCTCTTATATTCCCGCAGTCCCTCTCTTAACGCTCTGTTCTTCTCCTAGTGTTTCATGCTTAATTTGGGTCCTTTATTGTAGGGATTTTTGTGGTTGTTAAATCCCAAATTTCCTCTATTCCACATTTAAAATCCAACTCCCAGAACGGTTCAAGCAGAATTTTACATTTTGGGGTTTTGGGGTTTTGGGGTTTTGGGGTTTTGGGG